TCTTCTGGCCTTTGTACTTTGTTGGCAGTTACATTGCTCCAATCATAACTGGAATAATAAAAAAATTAAGCTTAGCTTCAGGGCAATTCCTTTTTTATTCTGATCTCTATTGGATCTCTGTAAGGTCAAATCCAACTCTGTGATTATTGAGGCATTGTAAATTAATGTTCGTTAGAGAGAAGGAGAGAGGAATTTTTCTTAGTGCCTTTGAGTGAGTTATCCACTTTAAAACTGCAGTGTGCAAAATTATATTCCCATAAGTAAATATAAGTTGTTAGAAAACATCTGGTGAACACTTAAACCTTTAATTAAAGATTTAAATTTAAAATCACTATATTTTGCTGCTTGGAAATCATTTTAAATTTAGAAAAACGTTAGTAGGAAATAAATGACACTAGTTGAACATTTCATAAGATGAGAGATTTATTAAGCAATTCTTACTAATTCTTCTATATGCAGTCTTCCTTCAGGACTTCGGCGCTCATGTCTTTCGAAAATTGTTACAAAAATTGGTTGCAAGCACAGAAAGGGAAAGAAATCTGGTACGAGTCCAATAGGTTTACTAAACAAAACAAATCCACACTACTCATTTCGATCTCCAATACGCCACTAACCGTTCCGAACGAAAAACTATATTTATTATTGTATATCGTACAATAATTTTATCACATGGAAAATTGACACGAAGTGGAAATGGGGAGAAGGCTTGTCGTCGTTAGTTATCCTAGTCCTGGTTAATAACAGTCACGTCCCATTCATCCGATACAAATCATTCAATCACCAAAAGAACTCATTCATCTCCATCCAATCCTAAAATATACCACTATACCACATATTCACAGGGGAACCTACAAAAGCAGCACATGATATAAAAATCTAGCGTGATTAGATACAAAAATACCTAAAACTTCTATGAAACATGAAATGATGCGGGATGAACCAAATAAACTAAACAGAAAATTGAAGCAAAAAAAAAAACTGAAAGAAAACAGATGTTAGTGAGATCCGTCCTTCCCGCAAAATGATCAGGGTGGCCGCAGTATTCTGCCGATAGACAGAATGAAGCCGCGCACTCACTAATGGAGTGTGGAAGGAAAAACAAACAGTGGAGCGGAAAGAAACAAAGTCTGGCCCTGCTGGGATGAAAAAGGGGACCAAAAACAAACTACGGAGGTTGGGAATCTCAACCTGGATACTAACAAAAGAGAATGCCGGGGACAGGCCGGGAACAACACTTATTCACATTAACCAGGAAAACATAAAACAGTCTAAATTAACCAGGGTGGGTGTTCACAGGAAACCGCCCGGTTGTGAGCAAGAGGAATTAAAAAAAGAAACTCAAGACTAGCCTCTTTTACACGAACCAAGATAGCTACTTTCACTCACCTTTTGCTGAAATCTGTCGATATCAAACGCTTTCTATCAGTTCTAATCTTTCCTTTGAGCTGATGCTGAAAGATTCCAACCCAATCCTGATGAAAATAATGTTCTTATCGCAAGATTCCCTCCATCCTCGACATAGAGCTCTGTATAAAGCGGGGTGGAGTATAAAGGAGACCCTCCCAACGCCAAACTTTTTTTGAAATCCGGAGATCCCATCTCCACCATTCTAAAGTCTGGAAAGTCCTCCTTACCCCAACCCCCAAAAAAAGGTGATCCCATATTGTTAATCCCATTCCCACGTCCCTTATCACTGTTATGACACCTGAGGCTTTCGGGAAATTTCTCGGGTCTTCTATTGACACCCCATCGACCAAAGTCATTTTGAAGAGGGGCCTTACAAAAGCTTTTTGTTGCGGGGAAACGCCACGCTCCATAGCCTTCCTGTCTACTTCACATGTTTTTCTCCTCTAAGGAATGACCTCTTCTTTTGGGTGGGGAGTGCTGAGAGCCCTGGTGTTGGTGGGGGTCGAGACAGAAGTGGTGGTGGTGGAAGGAGGCGTGTTCGAAACGTGTTTTATGAGAGAAGGGGTTTTGGCTGGTGGATTGCTGGGAAGTGGGGAAAGGAGATCCCTAATAGTGGAACAAGAAAGCCTCCTTGTTTGTTTCCCAATTTTTTGACTGGGGAACCAGTGACAGATTTGGATTCGGTTTTGTTCAAGGTCTTCTCCGCCCCGCTTCGACCAGCCTATTTTTCTTTCTTGTACATTTTTTCCTCTTCATCTTCTCTTCCTCTTTTTAAAGAGGCAGACCGCGGTGTGGATACCTCTTCCATTTCCACTTCTTGTTTTTGCTGCGGTTGAGAGTCCTTATGCTGAATCGCCTGTGACGTTTGCTTCTGTTGCCCCTGCTGATAGTGCTACTCCAATTGTGACTTCTTCTGATCGCCCTTTTGTTGCTGCTGATGCTGGTTACATTTCTGCTCCTGCAAGGGCTCTTTAGGATTCTTTGTTTCTTTTGGGACATCCTGCTGATGTGAGCGGGGATGCAAACTTTGTTCCCCTTTTCACCAATTCCGTCCATTCTCCAGGACCTTTTTTGCTACATTGACACTTGTGTTAGTGCTTTCCTTGGCCGTTGCATTTTCTAGTTGCGGTTCCGGTCTCTTCCCAGGATACGTTTTGGATAGATGTCCGGCGGCCCCACAGGCCCAACAGAGAGGAGGTCGAGCATCAACCATCACGTAGATGGGACCTCCGTCACAAGTAAGAACATTTGGAATTGCCACAAAGTCTTTCCTAGTAACCGTTACCACGACTTCCACATCTACAGTAGCTAGCCCGGCCTTACTTCTGACGGGTGAAACACTGACAACCTCGCCAAATTTAGAAAAGGAAAAGCCCAAATGGTCACGTGAAATATACAGCTGTACTCCATGCAGAATTACTTTTGTCTTAGTTGTTCCAAGGTACTCCGTTTATAGACTCACTGACTTGGTTGTCAATATGCTCCCCGCCAGTGACTTAGCTGTGTCCTCTGATGCCAGCAGGTTATCCCACATAGCTGTAGTTCTTCTAGCCAAAACTTTGGCCCCAGTGTTCAGAATTTTAATTACTTCTTCAATTATCTCCCTGTTAACGCCAATCAGTTTGCGAGTGTTGACATCCGTAGTTAACAAGGAGATTTTGTATTCACCACCTCCAGTAGAGATGGTACCGGTACTAATTCATTGTTCTTTACAAAACTCTCAAACTTCTCCGAGCGACCCTTATAAAATTTGGGTACTTTTGGAGCTGGTTTATCACCATGGAGTTGGGATTGCGCCTTAGTGTTGTCGTTCCCATAACACCGGTTGAAAACACCGGTCAAACACAAAAAGAAGTCACAAAAAAACAATATACGAACAATGGATACAAAACAGCAATTAAAGAGACGAAATCAAACTCAAATTTACTTTGACACAATGTAACGCACGGAAATTTTAAAGGAATAACCGACATAGAGTCTGACGTGCAATGAAAAAGGTGTCTCGCGAACAAAAATGAGCATACCCTGTTTTTAAACACCTGTCCCAGCCAACACTCAGCCAATGAGCGTTCAGAACCAGCCAATAAAAATATCTACAACCGTCACCACCACATCTATCAGCACGAAGTGCTATCTGATTCACCGTCCGTCCGAAGCTAGTCGATTCGCCGTCTCCACACTCCCTTGCAAAACATACACTCGACTCTGGTCGTTTTGGGTCGCCGAGGTAAGTCGCTACTGCAAAAACGTCCTATCCTCTATTTCTCTTAAACATTTGTTTTTTCTTCCTTTTTTTTTTTTTAACTATCTCTCCTAATCCCTGTTCTATCAACCATTTACACAATTTTATTAAGTAGGCTATGTACCTTTTCATCTCTCCCTTCAATATGTTCAATGAGCGTCAAATTTCTCAACCTCTTTCTTCTCATTATTTTCCCTATAATTTTCAACTGTCTTTTCTAATGTTAAGTATAAGTGTCTTTTTTGTTTCCATTTTCTAAATAACTGCCTCGTTGCCCACGTGGTCGATCCATGTTATTCTCAGTATCCTTCTGTAGAACTGCATTTCTGTTGCTTTAAGTTGAAATTGTCCAGCATTCACTGCCATATAGGAGGATTGATAATGCGCAACATTTTTCTTTTCTTTGTTTCTTAAAAAAATTCTATATCTTAATAAGTTTCCTAGCTGTTGAAAGACATCTTACACTATCTCAATTCACCTTCAGATTTTTTAATGTATACCGTATTCTGGTATTACCAGATATTTAAATTGTTGTACTTGTTTGGTTTTGGTATTTGCAATTTGGAATGTGCATGTTCGGCCTTTACTAACAACGATTCATTCTATCATCTTGAAAAATTTTTAATCTTTTTTCCCTGCCTTTCACTGTCTTCTGTGTTAGTTATCTTAGTTTCCTTTGTCTGCTATCAACACTGTGTCATCTAAATATCTTATGTCGTAAAGAGTGCAGCCACCCCTAATGAATCCTACTAAGATTTTTAATTCTCTTAGAGTTATCTCATTGTAGAGGTTGAATAAGTTTACTCCCAGTTTAGCTAAACATGTATAGAAGATCTCCCGCTAGGTTATTCGCCATTTTCCTCTGTCTCGCTTGACTTTAATATCTTCTGCCAGTTTCAAATGATCTAAACCCCTTTTCAGGGTATATGCCCGAGTAATTTCAACTGTTTCTTTCTGATGTTATGCAAAAGAGACATTTTTGTTTCCATTCTCTCTAAAACTTCGCTATTGCTCACATGTTTCGTCCATGGCATTCTCAACAATCCTTTTGTAGAATACAATTTCTGTTGCCACAGGTTTCTCATTCATCTGTGACGAAACTGCTCAGCATCCACTGCGATATGAAAGACCAATATTACATGAGAGTTAATTACGCTTTTTTTGTTTCTAATTAGAGGTGTTAATAAAGAGGCATATATTCATTCGTATTTTAATTTGCTATCTTATGCACAACCCCCATATATGGGTTAAATAGTATTAAAATGGAATATTAATGCAATATTCACTCGCAAAAAAAAATTCTCACAATTCACAATGTTTTGGCTTTAAATAACCAGAAAATTGTTGAGGCTTACGGCCACATCACGTTGCAACACCGGTTCTCGTACGATCACGGAAGTTAAGCCACGTTGCGCCTGGTCGGTAGTTAAATGGGTGACCGCGAGGGAATACCAGTAGTATGTGGTAATTTAATATTGAATTTGGGGGTGTTGTAGTTGAAAATGATTCAGAATTGTTAATCAGAAAGCCGAGTTCCAATTCTTGTTGTGTTCGTTATATTCAGTTACGCGGAAATATCCGTTAAAAAGGTATGAATCCACAACTTCTCCCCCAGCAATAGGTTAATTAGTAGGTCTTTATCATTAATATCATTATTATATCAAAAAATAAAATTCCTTAGTATTTAGATTTGAACATACAAATTTATATGCCACTAGAAAAACAACCAACAAAAAAAGCGTTGATAAGCCGTAAAAATAAACCAGTTAATAAATTTTGTATGTTATATAATATCATGGAAATTATCATAAATCATTATACGTTCTCTCTAAGCTGCACCAATTACATATTTTATCATAGTTACACTGTTTCGGTTAGACTGATATTTCCTCATATCTCTAGCTAATTCTCTCTATTTGTAAAAGCGTTTTTGAGTCGTCTTCTTTTACCCGCTGTTTAATCGAACAAACAAAATCTTAACACTTTTTTTTTTCCACAATTTCAAACTAGGAACGCTGACATTCACACGTTGACATTCATTGTCCATTATGAATAGGGCACGTTTCTCCAACTAGAAAGAATCTGCCTGGACAACGAATGACAATGACCTTGGTTAGAATCAGCTGAGAGCAAGTTGTCTGAAGTTTCGAAATTTTCTTTAGCTATCTTGTTAACTTCAACGACGTCGTTTGAATACATTCAATATTTCTTAGATTTTCCCATTCTTCCAATTTTTGGCAAGAATCTCCGTGAATGCTCCAAGCCCCAGAGAGATTTGTTTGAAATCGTAACTTTCAATCTACACAAAGTTGTCAGGCGAGGTTCAAATATTTTTGCCTCTTTTACTTGTTTACAAATTATTCTCATAAATCTGCTAGAAGTTCAACATTCTATATTACTAAAGTAGCAAACCTACCCGACGTTGTTTGGGAACTAAGTTTGTTTAAAGAAAAGAACGAACAAGTTCCTCATTTAAATTGTATGGATGACTAGTTTAAAAGCCGACCTATTAGGCTAGTTCCTGCTAAGGGCTCATGACTGAGCCTTTGGCTTGTTCAGGAGTTTGAGAGTCTCTAAGTTATTAGATATTCTCAGAACTGGATGCTCTTCTGGCTGCCGGTTGATCTGGATGTTCATTTGCGTGGAACTTTATTTTATCGCCGCTACCTTGGTTCTTTTGATTGCAATCCTGCCCTCTGTTGGCGGAGATTTCTTTTTGCGAGGCATTGTGTTGCTGTATGCGATATGGAACAATAAACTACAGAAGAATTCAGAATTTATCTCTGCATTTAAGTATTGCATTAATATTTAGGCTTTTAAACGTTCAACGATAAGTCTTCTGCCGCCACTTAATTTAAAGACAATTTGATGCCTATGTCTTTATTTTTCGTAAAAAAAGAAATATTTTTATTTTTATGGGTGACCTTTCATAATAAATTTCAACTATTCTGAAATTTATTTCTATGTTATAAATTTATTTCTATGTTATCGTAAAAATATACTTTGCAAAAAAAAAAAAAAAAAAAAAAAAAAAGTCAAAAAGATTGCCGAAAACAATCGCAGTAATGAAAATTTGTGTATCCAAAATTACAGGATTTTGTGTCCGGATACGGTCCGGAATATTTTTAATTTGATCAACAGAGTTGGTCTGATTCCAAAATGTTATGATATTTTGGGCTACGGCCGCTAGAAGTAAAGTTGAAAAAGTGTGACACACTGACACGCTGACATTCGCATTTATTTATATAGATTATTATTATTATTGCCTTTGATTTCTGGCGTTTACACATTTCTTTCCTGGTCCCGCCCAAGGATCTAAGGTTAGAAATGACACCATGACACTTTCCACTGACAAAAAAAAAAGAAAGAATATTACATAGATACAGCCCTTCGTAAAGTGTGGGCTGTACTTGTCAGAACATTTTTTTGTATCTCCTTGAGGCATGGACTTCCAGGAATCCCTTCAATTAGTCTACTGCAATCTTTTCCAACCAGTCCTAGGGCTCAAACTACAACAGGGATTGTTGATGTTCCAATATGCCACAGTTTTGAGATTTCTTTTTCAAGGTCATTGTATTTTGACAGCTTTTTGAATATCTTCAAAGATACATTGCAATCAGCAGGGACTGCCATATCAATAAGGAGGCACTTTTTTTGTTTGTGGTCTTTAATAACAATATCTGGGTGGTTGGCTTTGATTGTTCTGTCACTGTGTATTGTGTAGTCCTATAGAATTGTAACAGGTCCTATCTCCGTAACCGGGTCTGGGTGGTGTTCATACCATTTTCTTCTTCTTCTTCTTCTTCTTCTTCTTCTTCTTATTATTATTATTATTATTATTATTATTATTATTATTATTATTCACTTTCTGCTATGGTCACACTACTTACCATGTCTGCGAGACGATCTAAGGCATGTAGTTGTGTGTTTTATGGCTACATTTCACGATTTGTTTTTTCTAAATCCCATACAATTACTTGCTTTACATGGAGTTAAGGTGGGATTTCCAGGGATTTTTAATTTATTGTTGTGTTCCTTCTACTTTCATTCCAAGCGTACCTACTATGTCTATGACTATACTTGTTTTCAATGTACAAAATTTTTCGATTTCTAGGTCTTTATACTTCGAGAGTTTTTTTTTTGTTATTTTTTTAATTCATAATTTGCTATGTTACATTCCGCAGGGAAAGCCGTATCAATTAGTAGGCAATTGTCATAGATGACAACAACTATTGGCTTAGTAACATGCATGGAAAAAACAAAGGAATGGATGATAAAATTAGTCAAACAACAAAAACAGAAAGAAAAATATTCAATCATGAAATCTTAAAAGCTAACGAGATTTTACTTTAGTAGATCTGTAGAAAATCAAAGCAGAACGCAATAACCAACTGTTTAAACTTTTCGGCTTTTGAGAATTATGGCTGGCCTATTTGCTTCAATCTTTTTTTGTCTGTAAAGATGGTGTAATCGCATATAATTATGATGGTGGATCCAAAAAGAAAGGTTCTGTGACAAATATCAGGAAACCGTACAACATATAATCTCATATTGTTCTGTAATTGCGCCAAGTGAATATAAAATGGACAAACACTTTTGGTAAGATGTTACTAAACACTGGTATGAACATCACCCAACACCGGTTATAGAAATAGAAGACATCACAATTAATTTTGTTTGAGTAAATGTATCACCCAGTACTTTGTTGCTTCCATGTATGTTAGTAAGCGAATAAGTGTTGTCTTGTATGACAATTCTAGCTGAATAAGACCTCTTCCATCTTTTTTACGGTGTATGTATAGACAGTCAGCATCAGTGTTTGGATGATACCTGTAATGCTTAGAAAGAAGCTTTCATGTCTTAGAATCCAGTAGTTTGATATCATTTAGAATCTAGTTCAAAATCTTGATATTACACTGAACCACTGGGATGGAAAGGCTATTAATGGCCATAATTCTGTTCTGAGAATTCAAGCCAATTCTTAATATCCGTCGCACCCTACTCTAGTACTCTTTTCGCACTATTTCTTTCATTTTACTTGGTGAATTCCTTCGCTCTCATTTATACCGAGGTACTTATAAGCTTCTTATTGTTCTGAATCATTGGTTGTTACCTCAGGGTCTAAGATAATGGCAGAGGTTTGTGATAGGGTCCCTCGTAAAACTGTGGCTTTAGCACATTTATCCAAACTGAATTACATTCCAATATTATCACTGAAACATTTTACCGTTTACAGGAGACCTTCCAGCTCGCTGTCATTCCAATCATACAACTTCAAGTCATCCATGTAAAATAAATGGCTTATTTTCTTTTGAAATATCTTATAACCATATTCCGTCCTGTTAAGTTCGCTGGTTAATACTAGATATACAAAATAATAAGGTTAACAAAGAGGCATCTTGAAATATTCCTCTGTTGATGTTTATTTCACCAGACGTATAGACTTTATTTATATGATTAAATTGAAGTAGTGCTTGCTATTTCGACATATTTGTTGATGAAATCGATGACAACGGATGATACCTTGTATATAGTTAAAAACTTTAAGATCCAGGAATGGGGTACACTATCGAATACCTTACTGTAATCTATGCAGGTAGAACTGTTCTTTGTATTGAAACAGTTTTTCAAATCATCCTATTAATAAGTAATTGGTCTTTGCATCTGTAAAAGCCACGTTTGCACCCTTTTTGCTTAAGATATAGTATGTCATTTATTTCTAAATAAGAATATATCTGTTTTATCAGAAGAGATGTCAACAGTTTGTAATTAGTGGGGAGACATGTAATTGGTCTGTAGATTTTGGGACATTTGTGTCACCCTTCTTGGCTTGAAGAAAGGTAATTCTTTTAGGTAGCCATGACGGAGTTTTAGTAGTACTATTGGCTATTTTTTGAAGTTCTTTGGCTAGTTTGTTTATTCAGTGTTTAGATAATAGAGCCAAAATTTAGGTTTATTTTTTATTCCTGGAGAGTTCTAGCTGTGTTCTTTTTTCAGTGTACGTTCAACACTCACTTCTGTGACTCGCTTCCATGTTTTCATCGTTTCATTTTCATCCGTTCTACCTGTTGCGTAATCCAGTCTGCTTCTTCGTTATGTTCTTTAAAGCAAACCCATATTTTTCCCAAAATTATATAACCTCTTCCGTATTTGTGGGGTTGGGTTTTCACCTTTCCTCGCAACGGTTTGAAAGATAGTGTTCTCTCTGAAGATTCATGTTCTTTCTATATAGCGTCTGATTCTTTGAAATTTCAGTAGTAACGTTTGCTTTATTTTTCTTTAGCTGATAGGACTTCATGTTCATTTATAATTTTGTATTTTCCTTTGCATTTTCTGTCTTTTCTAGTCCTTTAATTTGCTCCTCTTGCCCTTTCATCGAGTACTGATAATTCACTTCTAAGATGTTCGATTTCTTTCTCTACTTTTCTTTTCAAAGGTAGATTTTCATGTCTGTT